ACCCTGATACTGATCCTTAAAAACCTTCTACAGAACCTGCATCATTTGTAAGTACTAGATTTCAGTTTTAATACAAAACATATTCTGTTTCCATTTCTATTCCTATTTTCGTTTTTGGAAAAAAACGGAAAAGCTATTTACTTTAAAACCCTTGTACGATATAAAGTACACGATCGAATGCTTTGAAAATTAGCCTGCGGATAGCGGACAGTGCGGCACCAAAATCGCGAGGTCTAGTCGATAGTTTTTTAATCTAGTAGTATAGATAACCTTACATACCATGAATGTGAACATGAATTGTGTAATTCGCTTAAAACAGTTTGTTTACACGTAAACAAACACAAACAGGAACGTACAACAGAACGACATCTATCGCAGTAACATGATAGAAATCCAAAGTTTATCATGAAAACAGAAGTGTAAAAACGTTTTAGATTGTCGGAATCTCGTTACCTATTACCTGTTACAAAATCAGAAACAAACTACAGTTTGCGCGTCTTTTACGCCATGATGGTTCACATAAATGCTTGCATTTTTTTCGTCAAGAATTAATTTACTTATATTTATTATTGAACTAGCTTTACTGAACCTTATAGAACTGTTCACTCTTCGAAGTTGCCTAATCTATAATAAACACTAATCACAAGTGAGACTTGCATTTTTGCTAAATATTGTTACTGTCGTCTGCTAGCATAGGGACTCGCAAACATCGGATTGAGCGCGGTGTGTCTGCAGTGATACGGAACGCTACAGATCAGAATTCTGATTGATAGCAATTCTGAGCTTTAACTAACGCAATGGAAAGAATGAGCAAAGACTAAGGATAGTGACGTTTAAGTCAAGCTAAGTATACAAAATTCAGATGGAAGAGCCGTTGTGGGAAATGGAACATAACCAAAAATAGCTTACCTGAAGGAAGGCGTCAAAATATAGGCAGAAACAGCTTATTCGAAATACATTACGAATTTTTCTACTACAAGAGGCATTTGACCTTCTGCGTGGTATGCCATCGATTCGCCCATTTGGTAACAGATATATCCTTTTCCGTTGAAGGATTTTTTCAACTTAAGACTCCGCTGCTACCGTCATTAGATAAATCATCTGGCTAAAATAAGCTAGAGTTTATAGTATTTTGAATTCTCAGCTTGCGCTTCGTCTAATACAAATGGATGTCATAGTCTTTGTTTTTTCGTATCTATTGGTACGGTACCGCGCTCTCTTTTTATTTTGTATAGGCTGCAAAAATACCGACTTAACGAGAGCATTTTCAGTTGACTTCTCCATTCTATATTCATGTTTTCAGTAGAGGTCTATTGGTGTTCTATATCCAAAAGTGCTATTCAAATTGTCAAGCATCGTATGGTTTGAGCGACGTAGCTGACTACTCTCACATCTATTATTGATTAGCCTTGTGGTTCGCATTCTGTGGAGCATTGCTGGGCTCCATAGCAAAATCGATTCTGTCAAGACATAAGGGCTAAGGAGCGCAACCAACGAATATTTTATCACTGCGGTATCATCACCTTACTTTTTTGTAATGTATCTATTCAAAAACATTTATACGAATGTCTGTTTTTGTCTAAAGAAGCTAAGGGTTTACTAAATGCGCTTGTCATCCGTAAAACTCTGAGAAATCTGCTTCTTTGTTTGTCGTAGTTTAGTGGTTAGGAGAAGAACTATTTAAAATATAAAACAAAATGGAACAACGCTCACAGTGATTTCTAACTCTTTGAGCTAGTTAAAATTAGATGCAAATTGGCGATCTATCTAGCGAAGCTATTCGAAGATATTCGGTTAAAATAACTCCGCTAAGACTGCTTACTGAAGGTAGTTTATCGATGAATAATCTCGGGGGATTTATCTAGTAGGGTTGCTATTCATTAACAATGGCTTTTTCAGAGTTCACCGTTGCTCGCCTAATGCGTCTGAGCTCGTACTATTGGCTGGTCTCGCTGATACAATATTCGACTGGTCCACCAAAACTTACAAAAAAAAAACTTGTGATTACAACTTCGCTCTCACTCGTTGGTCTCGTGATACATTACGACATTGCTGCATATATCTATAATCCTTTCTTGGACGGCTCAGAAAATCTGACTATAACTCGCGATAATTAAAGATATACACAGTTGCTGTATGATATCAATATCATTCAGTAAATACTGGAAAAGCGCTTGAGCAACTTCAATTCGCCCGTAGTATCTGCAGCGTACTTTTTTGTTCGCAAAAAAAATAATAATACGAGATCTATTCGTGAGATTGATTACGTTATTGCCCAGTTATCCAAAAAAGAAGCATTACACCCTGCTCCTTAGGGAAATCTGCTTTTGGCAGCAACGATTGCCTCGTTCTCTTCGGCGGCAAGTAAAACAGATTTTCCAAATTCTAATGTCATCGTTTGTTTGCTTTCGACGCTTGTTATCGTGGCTTGTAGATATAAATACTTTTGCGATCGCATCGTGTCGGCAAGCGGTCTGCCTACCGGTAGCATTTATACTGTTTAGGGGCTGTTCTAAAATAGGTGAGGCGCAAAACGGTGAGTTCACTTTACGTGTAAGCTCAAAGCGTATAAGCAAATAGCATTTATGATAAAATTTGTTTACATATAAAATATTACATGTGGATGGATGTGCTCTAGGCATTGTATACTACAGCACAATGTAAGGAGCTGGGCATGTACCTGAACGTAAAACGCATTGTATTTTCATCACAGATGCCACCGACGATACAATGCCAAGAATAGATGCTAAGTATAAATTGATCCAGCAGCAGACAGAAAGCTTCCATCGAAAGTGCTTCGTATATTTGGTAGCTTTTCTGATTATTTCACGCGGAACTACACCTCTACACCGCGGATTCGGAGAGTAAGTATTAAGATCAATTCTTTTTGCCGCGCTCAGGCCACAAACGGAGAACTGAAATGCCCTCTTCATTATATGTACGTTTGAATCCTATTCAAACCCCGCAAACGATAATGTAACCCGAATGGATCAAGAAACTCATTTTACGTAGGAGAACAAAATTTTTCTTCGCAATATTGGCTGCCGTTTCATTGGCTTAATTTCATAACTTGTGTCGTCAGACTAGAGGGATGATCGCATTGCTTTCCATCCACAGTCTGTTCTATTGTCTAACTGACGCCTACACAGTCGATCAGCGAAATCACCTATAATTAGCCTGTCGCCATTTCGCAGGCCTTTTGTTTTTAACCCACTGTACTTCTCGTTTATATACATATATATAACAAAAGCGGTTATATGGCGTAGCTCTGTATGTTACTGAACAACCGATGACGCAATTCACTGATACAATCCGTCGGAACTCTGACATGTACCTACAATTCATTTGAACGTATTGCTGGTACGTATTGATTATAAAACACAGCTGCCTATAGGCGTCATTCAAAATATTCGTCCTTCCTGTTTACAAATGCAAGACATATACAAGCAAATAACAACATCGGACCGACGCAGAATACCCGTTCGGAAGGCAAAGTTACGACACTAATCTCTTCCCACATGGGAAGACACATGGACCAAATCAGTGTCATTATATTCTGGCCGTGTGTGTGTGTGTGTTTATACATGTATAGAGACACCTGCATGTTTTTTCCTATTGTTTGAGGAGTATGAGTTCGCTGGAGATATTCAACGGAGACAACACAGGATAGGCGGTCGATCATGTTGAATTGCGAACGGCCTTCCGAGTAAACTAGATTTCAAGGCTCTGCAGTAATAGAGGGAACAAATGGAACAATGAAGTATTATACAATACTGTTCGAGTCCTTTCATACTATTGAATTTTATTTTCTACCACCTAAAAATTACTAACTGGCAAAATTTAAGTTGTGATGTGCGAAAAATCGAGGCTTTTAGACGTAGGCGCATTGCGAGGCAACCTACCCCCAACTGTACGATCAGCTTAAGGCCCTCACTGTAACTGACCGTGTCAAATACTGCCGTCTGACTACCAAGTTCTTTATGATGAATATTCAATCATTATCTAAAGTACCGATAGCCAAATACGTCTGTGTGAATATGGACGTGTGTCAGCGCGTAATAAACCTAGCGTCGAATTTAATCAATCAATCAATCAATCATACGCGATAATGATTTAATCAAATTATATCATTTTCCGTAAACATGAATGACTCAGTATCGAATGTTGTACGTTGTAATAAGTTCTGTTTGCACACCTCTTTTATTTAGCGCTCGTTTCCATGCCTTGCCATGGTTTTTATTTACTTCGCTTTGCTGAACATTCGTAATGCATCGCGCAATTCAACGTATTGATCCTCGTTTTGCGTTGGACAGTCTTCAAAGCTTTGTGCCTTCGATGGCGGATCGCCTGTACATGAGAAAGATGATTTGGCTGGTGACAGCGTTGTATCGAAGCTGTTTTCCATCAGAAGCCCGTTTCTTTTGTTGTTTGCTATACGTATGCCCGTTGCTGTCCCTTATCGGCTAGCCATCGCGAATATCTCAGACGTACTGTCGGTGCTCGAATCAGCGGAGTTCAGCCGGCCCTCGAGTTTTGTTATATTATGCACAGGTGTTCTCGAAGACTAAATGGAAATTCACCGCCTATCGAATTGGTCACTTGGGTTCGCTTTGCGGTGTCGAAACATGCCCTATTTGTCTATCGAATCTATGGAATTAATGAATAACATTAGTACACTGGTGTCCTGTGCTCTTTTATTAATAGTCATGCCTACATAGATATACAGCTGGTGTACACGAATGCTAATTGGTGTAAGCGTATATCTCCCAACGCGGTACAGTAAAAGCTTCGGTATATCAATAGATCAAGTAATGCGTATGTTGTGGTTCAAGCTTGAGCTAAGTTAAGCCTGCCTGTACAAAGGGCTGTAAGTGGCATTGGTAATGATTTATTTGTTTATTGCATGTATTACGTATATATGTGCGGTAATAAACGTAAACAAGTATTTCGTGGATAAGGTATCGGCGAGGAAATAAACGTCAAATGTTATCTTTGATGTCTTGGACTGGAGTCCTATTTTTTTTTTTTTTTTTGTTAAAAATACATACTGTTCTAAAAATTAAGCCTAACGCGCTGCTTCTAATAGTAACCCTTTTTCTAGGCTTTTGTACCAACAATTTTTTGTCTCAGTATTTTTCTGTCTTTTTGCCCTACATGGATAATAGCGTATGATAGAAAAATTTGAGAGGAAATGTGCAAGGCAATTTTCTTGCCAAAAAACAAAATTTGAAAAAAAATAAAATTGAACAAAATTTGCTTTAGATTTAACCAGCTATTCAAGACTACGGCCGAATTTGAAGTCCCCTGAGGTAATTTTTGGCAGATTCCTTTTCAGCATATATATACATATATATATATATGTCGGAATTATTTTATACAGGAAAAAGTAAAAGAAAATTAATTGCACGGAAATTACCACTAAAGCACTAAATGCTAATTAGCCGGATTGCGTTATTTTATGAATATTCTGAATCTGTTTAAATACATTATTAATAATAGCGATGAAGTGGTTCGAGTTTTTCGTCCGGTACTGCGTTAGGCATTGTTTTAGAAGGTTGGTTTTCGGTGAAGGGAATGGGTGCGTCCAAATTCAATCATAAATCGCCACGTGTATCCAAATCTAGTTGATAAACACTTTGATACTAAACCATCACAGGAGCAAGTTTTACTTTGTTACAACAGCTGAACATGCGCACAAATGAATAAATTGCAATCTTTGTAAAAGGAACAAAACGATAATATCACGAGCTAAAAGTAACGTCTCCACTATATAAGATGATAGAAAAAATGTTATAATATTTATTCTAATCTATTTATTTTCAATCTAAGCTAACTCTGACAATAGATTTACTTAGTGCTCGCACAGCAGCTGCCCGAACAAAATTTCGTCTGCTCAGTGAAGTGGCTGCCCTGATGTCGTAAGTAAAATGCAAATTCTAACTAAATGAGCCCAAAGTACTACACAAATTTGTAGCTTCCACACGTAAAACTATTATCTCTAAGATTTTAATAAAGGTCTAAGTATTTGCATAAACACAGTATAGGAAACAAAGATTCAACAGGCCCATTCTCACAAGTGACTCGCAAGCTAGCTAATTACTTTTGGACAGATGGTACTTTTACTATCAGTTGTCTGTTTTTATCATCGAAAATCACACTTCAGTCAAAGAACATAAAGTCAATAACATTGTCGGTATTTGCGAATTTACGCCCACCTGATGTTGTATTCAAAGCACCTCGTACGGATCCGGTGTTGTTGTCTACCGAGTCAAGGAACGTCTCCGATTGTAACCGGGAATATTTTCATAGTAATTGAGAAGTGTCTGATTTTTATTCATGACGACGTTTATTGTTAGAGAGGCGATTATTAGCGGATACGTGACAGTGTGAAGTACTACAGAGTTGGTGGCCAAATTCGTCTGTACAGCAGGATAAACGATCTCCATCCAGATCCGGTAGTAAGCTGGCAGGTGGAAGATAGCCATAAGAGACCAGTATGATGTCAGGATTCGTGATGTCTGTCGGCCAACATCGCGATGAAGATAGTGAAGTACATGCACTATGATGCAGGAGAGCCAGTTAACTACATCGTAAAGAATCGATGCCATTGGGACGAAACGTGTTTTTATATTAGGATCAGCTTGGACAGTGACTAGTTCACCGCGGTACTCTGTGTATAGCATGCCATAGAACCTAACCTCACCGAAAGCTGAACTTATAAAGAATACCGTCATTAATGAAGCAGCTAACGCCGAGCGCGTAAATTGTAGTGGGGTCCAAACCGAGAGGCGCTTTTTTGGAGGTCGAACAAGGCGCTTTCGAAAATAGGCCATGTAGATCCATACATACGAAGCGAGTGCCAAATAAACAAATGGCACGTAGCACAAAGCGGTCCACTCGAAACAACGGCTGAACGGGGTGAACCACGATTCGAACAAAGACCACATTTCACTGTCTTCGCAGAAGGCTAACTGGTGCACCATTTTTTAGCTGTTGATCTTATGATGATGCTTTAGTGATTTCTGAATGCACAGAACAATCCGTGCTAGAATAAGTTTAGAATAGACTGTCCGCCGGCGGCTTCCACTGACCTTTCTAATATGAGCTGATATTCGTAAAAGGCACAATAGATAGATAGATGCTTGTAAACAGACCCTGGCCGCCCTCGTTGAAGCTACGAGAAGCCACAATGGTATCTTACAGTTCACAGTTGGTACCAGCAGCGACTCCATAAACCAGTGATAGGTATAAGCAATGCCCATTTAACGACAAAATATATCGAAAATTTCTAGCTAAACACAGCAGACAAAGTCAACCACAAACAGTTACAAACGTGTGCTCATCGTGAGGATTATAGGCCTGGAGTAGTGGTAGCCTTGTCTAATGACTAGCTGTTATTATGTCAACGGGGCCAGGCTGGTGGTGTCACGAGATAATCGTTACTCACTGTTTGTGTATAAACCGTCACATCTGTGCAAGCAAATAGTCGAAGTGGCTGGCGGCTTCCTATTGTCGCTAGAACCACGATGCAACGTCATCCGCATCTAGTTTCTTGAACGCGATAAGTAAAGCTCTTCCCAATCTTTGCATTAAGAGCAAAGCTTCTCTTACGGCCGTAGCTAATATACGGACCTATATATAGTTGAGCACGAAAAAAGTACCACACTTCAACCTTCGCAGTGCCTTCTCTGTTCTCCTTGTTAGTGGCATCGTTCTAACTAAGTACCAGTTGGCTGCTAATCGTAAGGCGGCCAAACGTCACACAGGACTCGATGAATTCGCCGAATCGACCGCTAGCAACCTTGCTATAAAATTAGCTGCTTAAATATAAATAATAGGAAAAATCAATTCTCAATAATTTATTAGTTGTGTCAGGCAGATATTTTTTACTGTTCTGCATGTCGCGCGTGAACCCTAGTATATCTACATTGACGATCGCTTGGTAATTGTTGACAAATTTGGTCCTATTGAAAACTTCAGTGTCACAAAATCAAATGGTAAACGGTAAACTCTATAAAATAGATCAAATAAACAAGTGAGTGAGATTTCTCATTAGAAAAAATACTTTTTCACAACAGAAATAGCATACCTCTTTACAAAAATGTAAGTAACTCTTTCACACTTTTCTTTTTTATGCAGATGATGCATACTGCTGATTCATTCTACCTATATCGATAGGAAAACTTGAACAAAGGATCATTTTAATCCAATAGCCAATCAATACTATTCTGTTTGCCCTGCAGTTCGCCTTTTTCAATTACCGATATCATAAACTGATCTAGACACCGCAAACGTCCCATAATGAGCCTCATTTTGTACTTTACAGTTCGTAGCGGCCTACTTTCGCAGTGGGTAGACTTTTTCCCTTTTCATTAATCCTCATTCGTTTTGAGTCAAAAATAAAAGATTAAAGCAAAAATGTACGCTCCCTTACACCCGTCCTTGGTATTAGGTCGGCCTTACTGAGCACCGCTTAATTAAATTTTCAAGTTATCAAAATAGTTCCACTCAGTAGCATCTGGATTGACCTTCATGTATAAGATTTTACCGTGAATTATTATATATTTTCGCTGTTCCATTGTTCATGTCGAGGAATAAAGAAGTAAAATGGTTAATATTTTTATATCGTCTTTCTTAGATTTTTCAGTTTCTATTATTCGTTCCGCTAATTCAGTCTTTGATCTTTTTATCTTTAGCAATATCCGCAGCTTGCTGCCGGTAATTGTTCTCAGAGATGATCATTAAAGGTTTGTAAGATATGCGCTAACCCTTATCCGCAAATCGAAGTTCCCTATCAGCCGAAGGAACTTGTAAGGTACTCTACATATCTCAGGTCTCTATATATATAAGTATATGGTCCCTTGCAAATCGATAGCCTTAATTCAGATTAACCGAAAATACCTACTTTACTAAAATCTAGGTGCTAATCAAATGTAAACACGACTGTAGCTGTTGCTCATTGCGAGCTAAATTAGAGGGTTTTAACAATTGAGATGGGGAAAAAAGAAGTGAGCTGAGATGAAAAACTAAGGCCAACAGAAACTTGGTAAAGCTGCAAAAAATAATATTTTTGTCGAAAATCGTTAATAGAAAAGATTATCACTGGTGAACATATTGTACATTTGGAAACCCCATAGATTACTTAACAGGAGCGGGCCTAAAATGAAAAGCGTGTTTCGTAGGCGGAACTGGAAATCCAACTACTTCGTGTTTATTTAGAGATTACCTCACGACATCATAAATTAATTGGTTAACTAGTCAACAGTTTGATAATGCTAGCCCAAAATTAACCTTACTGAAATCCTACTGATAAGTAGTTGAAGGCAACTTCACAGTATTTATTGGTGGCACTTATTTGGGCAAGACTGCTGATAAAACAGTATCATGACTCGTTAATATCAACTATCTTTACCCTTATGTACGAGCTCGCCAGTCAAAGCTTTGCAGCTTTCGTTTTATGGCGACTTCTCATCCCTGTTCTTTGTATCACCTGTAAATCAGCAATCGCTGCTATCCAGTCGCCACGTATTGCTGGTAATGTCTTTTCAGCCCGCATTATTGATTAACATGATTATCTGTCCTCATCCTTAGCGATTTCAAGCTCGTCACGATCTCCAACATCATTCGTTTTGTATGGTTTGTAGTATCTGGAGGAACTATCTTCCGAACGACAATATGTGGTGGTATCAGGTAAAGCTCGACCTGACCTATTAGCGTCCTCAATCTCGTGCTGCATCTCGTTTCCTCATAGTTTTTCCCACTTCCACTTTTTAGAACGCTAGTCATAATCTATAGCGGTTTGCACGAAATTTGCGGTACCTTTTAGTTTTATGTGGCCCATTTGTCGGCTTCTTTGAGAATCGCTCAGGAATATTAGCGGGGTGATCTTTGGATAGTTGAGAAAGGCCATCTTTTTCAACTGGATACAGGTTGTATAAAAGCTATCAAATAGAGAAATATTTTCACACGGACCGGGATACGGTGGAACTAGTTCATTTTTGGAGGCATTTTTGATCTGTTTATCCAACTCTGCTCACAACCTGACCTAGGGTTGCTTATGATCTTGAAATGGCCCCGTAATGACCTTGAAATAAAATCCAATGCCTTTGTTTCTGTCTGGACTCGCGCGGAATAAATTGTTTTATCTTGTTAAGAAACTGTTTCCATACATCGACAGAGCCATCTTGCAGGCTGTCCTCCAAGCAGTGATGTGTTTTTTATTCCGGTGATTCTCAAACCTTACACCATAGCATGACTGAATTGTGTACAGCTTTGTTTTTTTGGGAAGATATAGAAACAAGTTTTTGCCCTTCTCTATTGAAGTATACTTAACGAATTTTAACACCTCCCGATCGTTCTTCTTAATGGTGATTATTTGTCGTTTTGTATATATGATGGCGGTCTTTGCCTCAACAAATGGATAATTCGTAGATCGGGTTTTTTTCGTTAATAGTGTGCGTCCTGATTTAACGTAAAGCTGTACTGCAGGCGTTCGTTTTGTATTGTACACTCTGTGCGAGACAGATCCCTGGTAACGGGTAAATGAATAAGTAATTCACCCAGAATTTTCCTAGCGGGTTTCCTAGAGGTTTCCTATAGCGCAGAATATATTCCACTCGATTCGGCCATTGTTAACAAAAAGTGTACGAAGCTCCTACTGATACTGCCTTGGTGTTTCTCTAAGCACCTGAATCTGCTTGGTGTTCAATTCAATACCGAAGCTTTTGAGTAAGTAAATAAGTAATTAGACAGTGGTGATTCACCTGCGCGCAGCTACGTTTAAGAAGCCAAAATGAAGCACATGATACTTGGATCTGTTCGTATATTCGAAGGAAGTGTATTTGCGATAAGGAAGGTGAGTTATCAAAAGTGTTCCTGGGATTTGCCTAATATGACAACTATGACACTAATCTGACGGTTATTTTTGTATAACTAGTGTAATATGACGGGTCTTTACTAAAGTCGGTCAGAACTACACGCCAATTCAGCGTTTTAGAAACATTCGCGGCTGCGCGCAGAAGAGACTGTAAAAAGCTATAGCAAATCTTGTTTTTTTTTAATTTTAGATGCAGGGATTCTTCTCTGAATAATTTGTTAGATAATATAGATGAAGGGCGACGGAGAGCGCTTTTTTCCACGACATGGAAACGTTGTCTGTCGATTTTACTGATAAGCAGGATTAGTTAAGGACAAATTGGGTGTTCACAACGTTTAAATAGACGAATAAGGCTGAGCTGTATTTGTCCTATTGTAATCTTACTAGACCTTCTTTAATCAAGGGTATAATGGGCAATATTATATATTCATATTTTGGGATCTCTTTATGCGGTTTGCTACGGATGGTTCTACCTCGACCACGTAAATTTTCCGGCTGCTACTGTCGTAAAGCATTGCTTCAGATTGCCGGCATAAAACTAAGTAGGCCAATGGCCCGCTTTCAAACGTAGACCACCTCACGTATCCTGAGGTCTAGTAGGCGAACACGTCACTACTAAAGCGTTATAAGAATAGACGACTAAACTACAGATCTATCTCGGAGAATCCTATTTCCATTTGTATCGTACTGATATTTGAGCATTCTTTATAGTCCTACCTGTCATCACTAAGAAATCCGTTATTCTCACATTCACCTTAGAATTTTATTTAGCTCCAAGGTCCTAAAAAATAGAGTTACGAAAACATTCAGCTTTAATATTGAATCAGAGATACGTAAAAGTACCACCCTAGAAATGCAGTAAAATTTTCTCAAGTCTGACACATCTATCCAGCTATTTTTTTCACATGATTGCATATAGATAAACTTTGATTGGCGCGTATCTGTTGTTAGCAACGTCAACGCCGTTCAGTGGTTGTTTTTCAACGTAACGATTGTTCTAGACTGTAGGAATATGGTACATCTCACGGATATGTAAGTATGCGCCTTCAACATTGGCTTCATCTTCTATCTTCCAAAGGCTGTTATGAGCTCCGCAGCGACGAACAAGGACAAGACGAATTTGCTCGTATGGATCTTCTTTGTAAAGGACAATCAAGCAATGCGTTAGCCTCTATAAACGAGCCCAGTCAACTGATGCCCTAACACATTTGTAATAAATTGAGAATACAGGTCTGTGATAAATAAGCTATCCTTATGTGTTACCTTTGACTTCGGTTTGAGGGGTTTGTACGTCCAAGCGTAATATGTCATCTGGACCACCAATGGCATCGCGCCAACACTAGAAACTTGAGAAAACCGGTCGAATTTACTCTAGAAGAAATTCCTTTAGAGGGAAAACCGTTTTTTTATCTCGAAAATTAACGCTTAGTGGCCAAATTTTTGTTCCAGAATTCGGCTAAAAAAATGGGTTCCCGTGAATTGGCTCTAGCCAGCTGGAAATGTGTAACCTGTGTTCTACGTACAGTCTGCCGAACAGAAAATTCGCTTGAAGCGTACGGTCGCTACAAAGCAGGCAGGCATCGTTCAATCCGAACTACCGGCTGGAGAGGGACGAGGCGAAAGAATAGCGTCCCCCTGCCTTGAAACCGCTGGCAATTTCGATCAGCTTTGGCTTTAAGGTGAAAATAGTACTTGCAATGGACGTAAGGAGCATCTGCCGCCGTATGATATAAGTACTCGTTAAAAATTAGACAAGAAACGGCGTTCGCTATCTCGAGTTCTTTAAAACTCATGAACCATTGGCATGACGACAAAAATCACTCAATCTGGTTATTTAACCGCGACGTCAAACCCTATACGCATACTTTAGTTACAGTGGAATTGAGCAAAAAAATATTTAACATTGGCCTCAACCCTTTGATTCTCATGATCTAAGCCCGTGTTATTTTTGGCTTCTCTATGCTCTTAAAATGGCAACTGGGCCTCAGGCAGATCTTACTATGGACTTATTTCGAGAAGTTCTAGATCGAGAAATAAGTTACGGGAATGCAAATAGTGGGTATGTAACTGTCCAGAATCAGCCAAAACTTCGGACAAATGTATGAAAAATGAAAGGCAATACCTCTAACATGTTCAGAATCATCATTCTGAGCAAACTAAGTCATCCATTTTAAAAATCTACCGGACTCGAATGTAACAACCTAACTATATTTTTGATGACCGACTAGGGTATATAATCAACGGAATAAAAAAACGTTTTTCGTTTTATTTGCTAACGAAAATGTTGTCGGATCATGCATTTTTGATTACAAGTGCGTTACTTCTTTGTCCCTGACACGATCTTGTAAAAGCCATTTCCTCTTATGACTTGTCGATGGTGTTTTACCATTTTGCCATACCCTGATGGTTTGATTTGAAGTTGCGGACCGGCACTAATAAAGTTTATTCTTCTGTTATTAATTTTGACTTCTGGTCTTCCAACCTCCCCTTTGTCTCTTTTAGACACACCAAAATATATCTCATTGCAACGCGCATTGACATCACAAACTTCAAATTTGGATGGCCCTCATTTACAGTCATGGCTACCTCAAACCTCTGCGTTCGCAAGGCACACTTCTTCGGAAGTTCACTTGGTTATTATAGCATAGCATCAACTTATGGGAAGCGATTGCAAGTTCGGTAGTTGAGTATAGACACTGTATAGTCGTATATTGTACAATAATAAAATACTTGAAGCTTGCTCTGAGTGGCTGAATGATTAAATAGCCAATAATAACTTGACTCCACAATTAAGTTTGTACACGATGGCAATGCTAGATAACGCATTCAACTGAATAGCTAAAGCATTGTTAAAGTAAGAAGTCATGAGTGTTCAGTGTCTCAGCATGTAGTCGGAAACACCGTTATGCATCGTAAATGACAGATATTTGTTGTAGAATACGGTAGTTGCTACACGGATGTCTGCCTGTTTCCCTATCTGATTTAAGCTTCAGTAAATAACTAGGCTTACTGGAAAAATAACGTTATATAACTACCTTCGTAAATCTTTGCATTTTTTTTTATAATTTCATGTGTTTCATGATCAGTAATCATTCATTAAGCACCCTACGCGCTTTGTTCTGCTGGAGCACCGGTTTGTTTCAAGTTCGTCTTTCGACGTACTGGCCGCGCACGTCGAGACCACCATCGTCGTGCTGCATCGTTCCATTCCATTGGGTAAACAATAATTTTATATAGAAGAAACCTTAGCGTTTCCTTCAATATTTAGAATAACTAACCACTTGAGTTATGGGCAGCGTACTTGCAATTCAGCTAACGATAGGCCCAGCAGGACCCACACAAGGGTTAAATATCTAACAGTGCGAGTTCGTGACGGTATAACCACAAAGAAGCCGTCCGGAGGACTTTCTTAAATTTAACAACAAAAAAAACAGCTGGGAGTGCCAAATATAGAAACCTACCCATCATGTTTGTCCTTTACTAAATCCCGTTCTAAAAAATGAATCGGCCGCCTCTCTGCTATGTCGGCCGATATCTGAGGCTAATGTTCCCAGCTATGACGTTGCTGTCCACTCGACCAATCGTCGATGTTGACAATTGCTCAAGACCATTAAAGTTCAAGGTCAACTTTAAATTAGCTTCATGGATACATGTATGCATACTTTTTTCAAGTACCATGCTATCCTATCTCGAGCAAAACATTAGATAACACCGAAATACAATTCTCACAGTATCACTTATTTGTTTGGACGAGCATGACAGCATAACTGAACCTGTTTCTTTAGGGGTATTTCATGGTGCGAAAGCCATCTTGAGTGCTTACGTCGTATCGCAACAATCTATTCATTACGTTTTTTAAACATAGTCTCGATTTCTAGAAAAATTGCGACGCAAAAAGAGCTTTATCCGAAGCTCTACGGGGTATAACTAGCTTTGGTATATAATTTAGCTGTATTTTTGTAGACTTATTTAGCGAGCGGTAACAAAATTGTTGGTTATGATCTCGGGAGTGTTACTCGTCAGGGCCTCCCTGTATACACGCCTATGTCGCTGTGCTTTATAAAATCATGACATTGCCATCAACGTGAGTCATCTGTTATACCCGTTTATTCATTGTACTAGTAGAAGATGCCACAGTCGCCATTTTAGGTAAATTTTGTTTTACCTTCTAACATCTTTGATACAGACACAGGGTGTATGGCTTATTGTCAAAATAACCGCTCATTAGCAGGGGTTTGTTTGTTTCAGGGTTCCGAAGTACTCAATGTCTTAAGAACAATTCTCGCGAAAGCCAGGGCGACACGGCTAATGAGGTCTTGACCGACGCTGCTGGCGGGGTAAAGCTAACGAACCAGCTCAGGCTCCAGGCAGAGCTGAAGTGATTCTGTTAATCGTACAAGAGAAATGCCCACGAACCTGTTGCCATTCCGAGGCGCCAAAAATCTAGCTTGGCAGGAGTATGGAAAAATTGCTCAAATCGGCACATCGCAATTCCGAACTTCCGCAATATTTGGCTTTTGATTCAAGCTTCCAACTTTTAACTAGCCTGAAATCTCGAGAGACTACATGCTTCAAAGACACTTTTACCACGTTATACGCTCTCATAATGAAAGGCAACAGTTTGTTTCTCACCAAGGAATTGTATATCGACGAGAAATCCTGCCTGATACAGGCATCATGCAAGATTTTTCGTTTTTAATAAGTTTTAAAATCTCAAAAAATACGAAACGTTCGTCAAATTAAAAAAATCAAAGCATATTAAAGAGCATTTCCATTTCCTTAGACCTCGATAATGATGTTTGGATAATGTCTGATATATATATATATATATATATATATATATATATATATATATAGACACTGGAATTTGGTCACGCATGGCAAGAGCTACTGAGTAGTAATGTTCTACGGTGAATACATTAACCTTCAACTTAGAGCCAAACGTCATCAAGCCTATAATAGAAATAACGAAAAACAAAAGCTTAAGTTGGCAGGTTAGTTTAGAGGAAAAAAATGCAAAAGCATGTTTTCCACTTAAAATAAACAGATCTCCGCGATGATTCGGTTTATAGGTATTTTTTTCTTTCGAAAGAAGTTAGTGTCGAAATATCAAAAACGGTAGCACTTAGAAAAAGTCAGCATCAGCACTACTGAAGACTCCTTTAGGTTGCCGACAAATTATAATCTCGATGTGGTCGAGATAGATGCAAAAAATAACCATTCTGTGTACTCCGGATATGTTTTAGAAGCAGGCTTGCCGCTAAATAGAGGGCTGAGCTATCCCCCATTAAACTACGCTGCAGTGGCAACGTTTAAGGTGTCTGACATATCTGTATTTCTTTACCGTGTGACGCCGGTCGGACTGCTTTTTCTGCCGTAGGAAAGGCATCATGGGAAATTTTATATCTGTAGTTGGTAACATAGATCTATTTAGCTGGTTATTTTAGCAAGGTTAGTGCTCGTAATGTTCTAGTATCAATGGCAGTCTCCTGTTGGCCTGTTGTCCTATGCGTAAGCTACAATGTGTGCATAACCCCGCGAGCAATAGGAGATCGATTAATTGGACTAATTGCGATCATATGACGGAATATAATAGGACATGCTCGTCTCAACTTTTGTTAAAGCTCGCTACGATTTGATTTTTTCCACGCTAATTATCTGGTGGTCAGTGTTGTACGTCGTGATTTAAGCTGAAATTACTCCCAAGTCGCAGCAAATAATGAACCCCAGGTGAATCGATTGTGTCGAAACAAAAACAAACCTCCTAGACTATTAGCAAATGTCCTGAGGCACGTTCGTCGGCGCAGCGTGTCTTAATGATAATCATGGGTTAGAGTTCGTATGTACTGCAGTGAACAGACCAGACCTAACTTGAATCAAAGGACATAAATTTACGCCATAAATATATGTTCTCCTCGGATGTGTATCCTAGTTAGTAAAATTTTCCTTTGATAGTAAAATACGGCCCAGTTTTCATTACGTCGGAGTTCGCGTCCTAGTGTTCCTTTGGACTTCGTCGTTTGCGGGAACGGGTTTTGTAAACGCTTGACGCTAGCTCGTCAGTAATGATTATGTTTTATAGTTGTGGATACGTTTAATCTCCGGTGCTGGTAAAACCTCAGATATGTTTGTTAATTCAGTAATTACTCTCGTCAACGAGGAGACAAATCGCGTCCTACCAGAGTGCTTTTGACTTTTTCAAAATATAGCTACAGAGATCGATCACGGTCAGTCAATTGCCACCCTTAAACTTATCAGTCGTAATAGTATTCGTAATATTTTCAGCCTATAATTCCTCAGAGGTTAAAGTTGTTTTTAACATATCGAAAGGAGAAAAGCTGAACTTATACTTTTGATCAGGGTTTACGAACGACGTAAACTAGAATGTTAGCTAAATATATTTCAGAATGTCTAGTAAATTATAATAATATTATAATTCAATTGCTTGATAACCGGCTACCAATGTAACAGCATGTTTTTTCTCTTAAATTTTCTTGGAAAAAACAACGAACCGACCACAGCCGCAGCGAAACGCTCGGACAACTGCATAGTTCACAAAATGTACAAGCAGTACACCTGAATGGAAAGCTATAAAAAAAGAATATATAGTTCGTTAATCACTTTCATTTTTCTTGCAGTGTATGCCATTTAAACTTACTGTGATTCTATTTCAGAGATTTCATGCAACAACGTACTAATATTGGGGTGTGCTCGTTATTCAACACAACGACGGGATCGCCATATTGGTTATGTACAATCAAGAGACAAGACTATCCTCTTTATTTAAAAGAAGGTCTATCTACAAAAAAAAAAAAAAAAAAAATGCAGAAACGTTTTGTGAGCTGTTGTTTTTTTCTTCTTTTAAATTAAACTCGTACAATGAATTGTTACAAGATATGTCGCTGTCATTCTTTTTGAAAATGGTTCTTATAGTTATCGCCCTTCGTTATCACCCCTTGATAATGGTTGAATCTTTTACGTTACTGTGTTGATTTGTTAGTTGGATTGGGTCGGCTAAATCTGAACTTTAGTATGAGTACGTAACTGAAGCTATTGATTTTGCCTCACCTACCTCGTCCATAGAGGCGCACTGATCTGTTATAAGGGAGATGCGCACACGTTCAGTCTCTGCTAGCATCGATCCTATTGTAGACTCTAGCTTACTTAACCTACATTCGTGTCGAACTTAGCACTGCGTTGGCAAGTTCGGGTTTAACTTAGAATAATTCTAGCCTAGGCTGTAAACTAGTCTTTTTCTCAGCGATCTTTTTTTTTATATTCGAACTGTTTATAGATTTATCGAATAAAGATGGCGACGCATAAAACTATTCCTTGACTTTGTTTTACCCGCTTAACTTATATATCACTACAGCTAGTACAATAGAGATGATTAGAAAGGAGTCGACGTCTTTATTGAAGCTGTATATAAGGAGGAACAAGACCGCATATGGATAATCCATATGGAAATTTATTTGGCCTGTATGAAAGCAATTGATTTTCAAACGGCATATGAGCGAGTATGGTTCATATGCACGACGAAAGGTTGTGGTATGAAAACATCTCCCTTTTCGTAAGCTACTTGGCATTAGAATGACAGGATCATATTTGCGGCTAGGAAATTTTACGCTAGCTATTAAAGATGCAACAGCCATTTATTTCTATTGGAATTGATCGCATGTCCACTGCATCGTAAACATGTCTGCTTTGGCAGGTCGAGTATCACTGCATCCTTACGCACAGGATCCCAGTAGAAGTAGTTACGCTAGCTTGAATTTACTTCGGACGCGCAAAAAAACGTATAAGAAACCATAAAAACGGCAGAACATTTTTCAGTTTCTTATGAACCGTCTGACGCGTGAGGAAGTCGCTCTGCTCGAATCGAAAGAGTTACTTCGCGCTCTTGCAACTCGAAAACCTCCGTAAACGTCCGACGAATTCAACTAACTTCCAGTTACTAAAGTGGCCGCTTTGCTTTGACCAATCCCACTGTCCATGAAACAATCTTTACGGACAACGATACGAATCAAAATTGACCAATCTTAAATGAGAGAAAAAAATATAAAGGTATACCTACACAGCACAGCCGGATCGTAAATAGGCTCTGGTACAGCCGATTATGCGGAATAGTTAATCGTTCGAATCAGTCTCGAAGGTAAGGATGGACGTGGACATAGACGCACGTACGGTTTGACGACGGTAAGTTTTTTGAACCGATACTTTTCCACAGCACATATTTTGTATCCGTATAACTTACGAATGGGCCTCTAACTAGCTAGCCATCGTGACCCCTTCGTATAACCCATTTCGATGTCTGGCTCTAGATTTGTTAGTAAGCAGTATCCTTTAATGATATGTGTGCTACCTATTCATATCGGCAGGTCCGTTCGATTTCTTTTTATCACGCTGACACAAAGAAGCAAGCGTCTTGCCAAAGAGAGCCGGCTTCGACCGAGTCGGAATAGAAAATACGATATAAAAGCTTGTAAAGCGAAAGTTTTTAGCAAGAAGAAAAGCTCGTCTTTTAAATATACTTAATAAGGGCATATTCACTGGAAAAGGAAACCTTCCAATAATAATAGTTGATACTAGCCTATGCTTGCGTAACAGCTTTTCAAACGTATCTTTCGTCCAGATCTTTAGGCGCATAGATTACAATCGTAGCCCGCACTATGTAACTACGTATGCTCCACGCTATAGCAATGACCTAATCACATATATAGCGGTCAAGGTGATCTCGGTCACTTCAACTAAATTGAACTTATACAGAATCAGCCTTTACAAAGCGAGTACAATCGATGCTGTGAGAATACATACAATTTTAGCACGAACTTTCATCTGTTTATCTGCTGAGAGGCAGCGAGTGGTGAATACGCGTTTCTGTTAAAACTGCAAGAACCTTCCATTCAAGATGAATTTTTATGAGATTTGTCCTTTCACTGCCTGGGTACAATATAGACGCGCACATTTTTTGTGTCGACACGTTTGGGTGACAGACTTTTATCGCATTCAGGATCTCACTCAACGTATATCTTTTAGAGAAATAAAACAAAAACATAGATTTCCATAAACGCTTTGGCTATATCGGCCGATAGAAATCCCGTACTTTCTTACTAGTCGATATATTCATTTGTATTTGGTAAATTAGTTGTAAAAAGTTAGATTTCGTATATTTCTCTTTGTTAAACAGTTTTTGGAACACCGGTTTGACTCTACCATTTACTAATTATACTGCTATTATGACCGTGATAGCGCAGTGGGGTCCTAAACTTAGGAACACGTGGCGGTCGGTTTCGGGAGTAGGTACACTCAGTTTCAGGCCGAGAGGGATGACCGGTATGAACCAGCTTGTCTACCCACTGAAGAACGGTAGCAAACTGGTGGAAGAAAGACAGGTCATTAGGAACGCATGTATATTAACTATAGGATAGCAGCTGTGGTCTATATTTGTAGACCTTGTCTATGTTAGTCGTCTATGCAGGTTGCGACCAAAGCGCATGGGTAATATAAAGGCTTATTAAATAGTATTGTTTTACTAGGACCATTGGGGCAATTATAGCTCGCAGAACGTTATGCAGCAGAATACTGGAGCTATGTTGTTTAGTAAAACACATTGAAGCACACATTTAGTAAAAGCGGTCTTCTCAATTAAGTGAATTTCTCCACAGAATGACGGTGGCATACCTACTGCGGATGGTCCAACGGACACGACACAGGAATATCAAGCACGCACGTACT